CTTAGTAGTTATTGCTGTATTCTTGCTAGAAAGTTTTTTGCTTTTTGTCCAGTTTTGGTAAAATGATCTATGGAGAAGAATCTTTTTTTTTTAACTCATATAATAAAAAGTTAAAACAATAATATTTTATTTAGGTTTATGACAAAAATAACAGGAGGAACCGTCAATGTTACGCGACTGATCCTTCACCCAGTGTGCAACATATAAAAAAATTATTTTACAATACCAGATCATTCCGCTAGTACATAATCCCACACCAATTTTTATAATAAAGATGGTGTAAGATTATCATCATAACATGTACTAGTGGAATGATCTGGTATTGTAAAATAATTTTTTTATATGTTGCACACCGGGTGAAGGATCAGTCGCGTAACATCAACGGTTCCTTCTGTTGACAAAAATATCTATGAAAACCAAATAGATCATATTAACATAGCAACTATAGATCTTGAAATTTACATATTTTCACTTGGTATTCTCTTTATAATCTTATTTCACATACTGTTAAAGCTCCATGAAACGTACTCAAGCATATTTAAAGAAATGAGTGCGTGAGAGTGAAAACCTGGAAACCGATTTAATGATTTACTATGATCGGTTTCCAGGTTTTCACTCTCACGCACTCAAATAGATTCAAAAGTTGATAGATGAAGTACATAAAAAACATCATCATGGTAACTCATACTTTTGATGTAATTGTGTTACCAACTTTTGATAAAACGCAAATGTCTCATCGTCAAAAAGAAAAATCAATAGTAAGGCAGTTGAAAGATGATGAATTGGGCACATGCTTGGTTTCAAATGCATGATATCTTTATCCCTTTCTATTCACCTTTATAGTATAATTGTATAGATCTGATATCATCAAGTATAAAAAATTCTCGCACAATGGTATTTTATTTTAAATTTAAGGTTTGTTTTTAAGACGGTGCTATAGAACTAAATTGTACAAAATTTTATATAAAACCTTTTGTTAGTATAATGAGAGTAGTTTATATACAATAGTTAAGTTACAAGCATTTTGAATTTTTGTATCTCTTCCGCATTGCACATAATATTAACTGTATAATTAATTGGTTTTTTAAACTGAGCAATTTAACTGTAATTGTTACCAAAGCATAGCTGTAGCTATCTTAGCTATTAGTAGAATTTTAATCTAATATAACTTTTGCTAACTGCACTTATACAATACAGACTTTGTAATAAATGCAACAGTGCAAAATATTCAAAACAAACTCGATTTCTAATTTTATCACCTAATCAGTGTTGATTATTTGAAATTTGCAACAACAGTACTGTTTGAATGTGTGCCAGGTTTGTGGTGCAAACAAAATTCTTAAAGTTCTTTAAGTTAGAGTTAGCGTAGATATATATTAAGGTATTGGTGAAATTTATAGTAAAACATTTCTTGAGCATGTGCCAAGTTACATATCAGCATAGTAATCGTCTCTTTTTAATGAAAATTTCTACTTTATATTTAGTCAACCATTCCTTCCCATACATTATAGGTTTCTATTTTCTTAATTAATAACTTGTAGATATGGCTAAATATGTAATACATTATATGTAAATAGAGTGTGTAGCTATTACTACTGTAATTTCAAGAATATATATGGTTAACAAAGCTTATTTAACTTTTAAAAATGAACCCCTGATAGATAGCTATGTGAAAACTTTTTAGTTTAAAGGATTATTTTATAAACAGTATAGTATATATTTATTTTATTAGTTATATAGATTTAATAATTTGGAATTATCATTCTGAATAATAAAATTTCGAAAGGTATAAAAAAGCATACGAATAGTTCTTCGAATAACGATATATAGTAAGAGTTATAAAGATGTTCTTGAAATAAAAAGGGCGCAAATTAGGTGAAAATGAACGTTTTATGAAAAATTCTATTATATATTTTAGTTTGTATTTTAATTTATTAAGTTTTTGAATAGCGCAGATTACTTTGACCAATTTATGCGCCACAACCGACACACATTCAGTATTGGTTTTGTCCAACCGGAATGTAACCATATCTCCTTTTAGCCACACTTTTTTTTCGCCATGCCTAAGGTACTACTCTCGGACCAAATCTTTTGTAGAACCGATGCAACCTAAATAAGGTTTGTTTAATATTTGAGGATACTCCGATTTGTGAACTTGGAAATTAGTATGTAAACGAATTACCACTACAGTATAAATAAGGCCATTACATTTATTTAGGTTTTTGCAATTCTCGAAATAATAAACTTAATAAATTTTTACACATACGTATTGATCTTTTCAAAATATATTCTATATATATAGAAATGACTAATTTAGCTGTAACAGATTGTATGTTTGAACAACTAGTTTTAAATTCATGCCTCATAAACGTTTTGTGTGTTGCTAAATTATGTTCATATTCTGCAGATGAAAACTTTGCAAACAATAGAATGCCACGTTTCGATTATGAGATTGAAGATTTCCAACATTATACATGGCACATCACCGGTTGGCAAGATCTGGAAAACAGGTTGACAAGTCCTGAATTTGTTGCTGGAGGTTGGAGATGGTAAGCTTATTTATACCTAATTTATATGTAAATCCATAAGATCATATTTTCTTATGAGCCTAAAATCTAGGCGTATTTTGCTTTTCCCCTTTGGAAATAATAATATTGATGTGGTATCAATTTACCTGGAGATTGTACCGCATGGAGCACCTAATGGTTGGCATTGCTGTGCACAGTTTATTTTGGCCATATGGAATTCAGAAGAACCAACACTATACGTTTCTCACAGTACATATGCAAACTATTTCATTTTATACATCTTATAATTCTTGTCACTAATATATTGGTTTTTGATTATAGACGCAAATCAACGTTTTAATTCTGAAGAGCGAGATTGGGGATTTACACGATTCTGCGAACAGCGCAATTTGTTTGTTCCAATGGAAAATCAAACACGTTCTTTAATCGAAAATGATTCATGCAATATCACTGTCTTCATTCGTATTATTAAGGATGAAACTGGCTTTCTCTGGCATAATTTTAAAAAGTATGTATATTGTTTTCTTTTAATTATATTTGAACTTAAATTTGATATTTAACGTGCAAATCCCTTTATAGTTATGACTCAAAAAAAGAAACTGGTTGTATTGTCCTTAAGAACGAGGGAACAACTGGATATATGAATGCTACGCTACAATTATTATTCAACATGACCTGTTTTCGTAAGGTTAGTAGTTCGTCCATCAAGCTTTAAACGAATATTTTTAAGTCTTATCTAATTTGCTTTTAATTATAGGCAGTATACCAAATCCCTACGGATTGTGACAAATCAGATAAAAGTGTTCCGTTAGCTTTACAAAATGTCTTTTATCAAATGCAAACATCAAATACTTCAGTTAGAGCAATGGAATTAATGAAATCTTTTGGATGGGATTCATTAAACTCTTTTATGCAGCACGATGCCCATGAGTTTAACAGAGTGTTGCAAAGCAATTTAGAAAGTAGAATGATGGTGAGTTTTATTATTACAAGTCACTCTCTTTATAGCGAAATAAATGGGACTATAATATAAATTTTTTTAAAAAAAATTCACTGTATTTAAAGTTCACTATAACGAGAGTGACTTAATTGAATAAAGTATAGTGTAAAAACTTATTGTAAAATGTCAGAGATTTTGTTTAATTAAGACAATTTCTGGCATAATTTAAGACAGTCTGAAATTATATTATTTTAGCTGTCCTCAAGCAGCTCCTTCAATGAGATTTACTAGTGATCCGGGCGTTGCTTAATCATTTCATTATAGTAATATTGCCGAAAATTCATTTCATAGAATGTGATAAATCTCAGAACAAATCTGAAAAAAAAATGTAAAGGTTTTTTTCATTTAAATGAGTACTGTATGATTTATTTTTTTACCATTAAAGATCATTCCACAAACCATGGAGGGAAGCGCTTGAAAACAGCCTTAGGCAAATTTCATTGTTTAAAGATAATCATTTCAGAGAAAACCAGGTTACATTATGACAAAACTTTGTGCACAAATTGAATTAATTTAATCAACTTCACAACAAATTATAGGATAAAAATGCAATTTCCGCACTCTTTGCCGGAAAAATAAAGAGCTATATTAAATGTATCAACGTAGACTATGAGTCATCCTGTGTTGAAGATTACTATGGTATCATTGAATATATTATTATTAAATAGTTATGAACAGTCTACTATTTTTTTAAAGACTAGTTTTAAGTAATATTTATTTATATTATTGTAGACATTCAACTTGACGTAAAAGGTTGCAGGAATTTGGATGATTCCTTCATGAATTATATAAAAGAGGAAACTTTAGAAGGAGATAATAAGTATGATGCTGGAAGCTACGGACTACAAGTAAGTGAGATTTTTGAATACTTTATATAGAATACGTGTAGTTGACAACGTTGTTGAAAGTACAATGAATTTTCTGATTCTGCAGGAGGCAAAGAAAGGAATAATCTTTGAAAGTTTCCCATCCGTATTATATTTGCAATTAAAACGGTTTGAATACGATTCACAAAGTGCTACTGTTAATAAGGTATGTATCGAAGTTATCTATTAGTAACAGTGTTGAAAACAAGATTTACTGGTTTTCAGCTATATACATTATCCGAAATGAGACCTACCAAAATTAGTTTCGGAAAATACTATCCAAAATATAGTTCATATTTCAAGGCATTATAGATATTCTCAAGTTCTAGGAAAACTAAAAATTGGCTCATCTTAAAAATACTAAACTCTTTAAAAACTACGTTGGTTTCTTTAGAACATTGGTTTGTAGACAACTACGTAATTTTCATATAGTTTATTTTTAAGATAAAATTGAAGTTTCGGAGGACGAATAAATTTTAGTTAGTTCCGAAATAGCTGTAATTTAAAAAAACAAATATTTTTCAGTCAAAAAAAGCTTTGGGTACAAATATACGCCGGTCAAAAAGAAACCGGTTTTAACTATAAAAAAAAAAAGAAGCTTTTGTATGATATAAATTTAGCTCAATATCTGAAATCGGAATTTTACTTGTTATATATTTTTACTTCTGATTATGACCTATAATTTCAACGTTAATTTATTGTTAAAAATTCTTTAGATAAATTATCGTTATGAATATCCTATGGAAATTGATTTAGAAAAATATTTATCATCAGAAGCAGATAGAACAAAACAACACAAATATTTACTCTATGGGTTTGTAGCAGTAGGATGTCTTTCTGCAAATTTGTCATAATAAATTAATGCTCATGCCTTTTATCGTTTCAGAGTGCTTGTTCATAGTGGTTACTGTTATGGAGGCCGTTATTTTGCTATAATAAAACCAAATAAGAACGGCAAATGGTTTTAATTCAATTTTATTGATTTCTTCATACGTATTTAGACTGCACACTGATTGGATTATTAATGATAGTCATATTTAACAGGCTAAAATTTGATGATGATAGAGTTATACCCGTAACAAATAAAGAGGTGCTGGAAAATAATTATGGAGGCGGTATCCAATTCTCGAGTGCATATATATTAGTATATATCCGTGAGTCCGATATAGATAATGTATTACCTCCAATGCTTACTGAGGATATACCAAAAAATTTGCGTGAGTATTCTTTTAAGGTATTGCAATTTAGATTTGCGTAGTAAATTTGATTATTGTTTTAATAGAAAAACGTCTTGACGGGCAAAAAAATAAAGAATCAGAAGAACGAAAGAATTATTTTTATGTTAAGGTAATTAGGTTAGATAATAATGAATCTAAAATTTATAATTAATTTAAACTTTTAACTAAACTATTACTGTTAGATTGCAACCCCAAAGACCTTTAATCTCCACCAAGGCTATGGTGTTGCTGACTTTAACGATCCGTTATTTGAAGTTTTACAATTTAAAGTTTTAAAAAGCGAAAAATATGACCAGTTCAAAGATAAATTTGCAGTCAAATTTGAAATTCCAACCGAACAAATAAGATTCTTGATATTTACAAATCGTAATATTAGGCCAATTCCAGATGATTATGTTTATAAGTGTAAGTGATTCGTAAATGTAATTCCTATAATTTTATTTTGTTTGTGATAAATATTTTAACTTGTGTGATAAATAGCTATGGATAGAATTTACAGAAGGATGGGTCTGGGACAAAATGAAATGAATTTTTATTTAGAAATTTCACACAAGCCTATTAAAGATGAGGTGATTTTTTTAATGAGTTATTGTGCATATTATCAAACATATTTCATTTCCATTTATTTGATATGCATAGGAATGGTTCCCACCAACAGTAAGGAATACCTATGCAATGATTTTCATCAAATATTTTGACCCCAATACACAATATTTAGAGTATGTTTCATTAATTTATTGTGATGGCTGATGCTGAAATCTGTATCTAAATTTATATAAAAGTTAAAAACTTTTGGGAAGTAACTTTTTTCCGATTCTTTTAGGGTTAATATTAGGGTTATAATTGATAATTAACTGTTAAAGAGTATAGGAGTATATGAGGATTTTAGTATGGCTTATAGTTTCCAAATTTCAGCAGCAACCGCGACATTTAGTATTAAATTTAATAATATTATTATTATTAATTTATTTGTTACTTTACATTTATGTAACAGAGGGCTTGGTCATATATATATTCAAAAATCATATAAAGTTGATGATATCATTCCAATTCTATGTGAGAAAAAAGATTTTCCACCACATACACCTTTAAGGGTATACAAAGTAAGTTTATTTATATTTTTATCTTTTGAAGTATATTCTTTCTTAATAATTATACTTTTGTTAAAATGTAGGAAACAAGAACAAGCGTGACTGAAATAATAACTAATCTACAAGATGGTGATATAATTTGTTTTCAAAAGGAATTCACAGAAATGTAAATTATTTATTGCTTTATTTGGTTAATTAATTCATCATTTCTTAAGAGAATATTTTTTCTTTTAGAAATCGAGTAGGCCGTGCTTGTGATATTCCCACATTCTATAGTTCATTATCCACGCGTATCATCGTTCAATTTAGGCCAAAATTTAAAGATGAAAAACAGAAATCTGAATTTAAGTTGGCCTTAGACAAGGATTATACATATGATGTTGTATGTTTAATTGATCTTTACGACTTTGAGATAATTATCATAGTAATTGTTTAAAATAACATACTCTTTCTATAGGTTGCTAGCCACGTTGCTGCATATCTAAATACAGATCCTCTGAAATTACGTTTTACGTCAGCACATCTAACATTCGGGACACCTAGATCTGTGATCAAAAGGAAAACTAATGCAACATTAACATCGATGCTTCCAGGAAGATATCTATCTTTACCTACCTCGGCAAACCTTATATATTATGAGATGTTAGATTTTAGCATTGACGAATTAGAAAATATGATGTTATTTAAAGTGTACTGGCTTGGGTCAACTTTAAAGGAAATTGTAAGTATTTCGGTTGATATATTAATTAGCTAATTTGTTTATTAATTCGCTTTTTTTTTTTTTTAAAAAAAAAAAAAAGGAATTGTTTAATATTTTTCTTCCAAAGAAAGCTACAATTGATGATTTTTTAGAAGAAATTATACGAAAACTATCATTACCAGGACCCACCAGTAGTATTAGATTGTTTGAAGTTATGAATTGCAAGATTTTAAACGAATATATAGGTACATTTAACAGTCCAATAGATAAAATACCGGAACACGCAACATTATACGCAGAGGTTGGTTTTTTTTTATAGCTTTTGGATCCTTTATTCCCTTTTTGAAAATAAATTACTTTGTATTTAGGAAATATCTCAAGAGGAAATTAAACTAAATATCAATGATAAAGTTATTCAAGCATATCATTTTACTAAGAATCCTTCATACATACACGGAATTCCATTCAAATTTGTTATTAAAGCTGTTAGTATCTGAATAAATATACGCTTTAATGTAGTTTATTCGTTTATGTTCTGAATTTTTTTCATATTTGTACAAACAGGGCGAACCTTTTTCAGAGACCAAGTTGCGGCTTCAAGCACGTTTAGGAATGAATGAAAATGATTTTGCGGAAGTAAAATTTGCGATTGTACAGGAGGTGCCATATACAAAACCTAAGTACATTGTTTATGATAGTATGTATATTCATATCTTGATTTTTTTCATTTAGGTTATTAGAAATATTGACCTTTTTGTATAAATTTATAAATATAATAGATGTTATTCTATCTGATCGAAATTGGACACCCGATACATATTTAGGTCTTGATTATGTGAGCAAGACAGAGCGTGTAGGAATAGTGGGTGATGATAATAAATCAATATATATAAAGGAATAACTTTTTGTTGTGAAATTGTCTTGTAATAATAATTTTACTTCTGCCTATTATTTATATAATAATAAATTTTTTGTTAATATACGGTGGAAATCTTGACAACTGTTTCAAATCAAGTATTTAATTAGCCATTGTGAAGATTTACTATTACACAATAGTAATGTTAGCTAATCAAGGTATTTAAAGAAACTTATAACCCTAATTGGAGCCTAAGTATTAACCCTAAAAAATTGTACTCTAAATTTTACAGAATTTAAATTTTGACTAAATAATACCTTGTAATATATAGTACAAATAATAACTTAATTATTAGGTAATATATAGATTTATTGGTAAATAAAGTATATTAAAATACATTTATTAGTAATTAAGTTGTTATTTGTACTATATATTACAAGGTATTAGTTAAGATTTGATTTTTTAACTGGTGGTTATCTGTTATTACAAAATTATAATTCAGGCCAGCTAATCAAAAAAAAAAATCATAAAATCATCACTATGATCTGATATTTATTATGATATATTATACCGTTATATTTAATATTTAAGTCAATTAAGTATTTAAGTGTTAAGTTTTGTTTAATTTTGTTGATTATTACATTCAATTATATATAATATACAGTATACTTAACAATCATTATAAAATGTATCTATGGTGCTTATGATGTTGATATTTTTTTGCTAAAATCCAGAATTAGGGTGCAACCACAAACTAAAATAGAGGTCAGATAGCATAAAGACCCAAATTTAGAATAACATAAGGTTTTTGAAGGTTCTAAACTTTTTTACTTAATATATTTGGCTTTGGTTATTTAGATAGTTTTTGAGCTATAGCAACTGTGGTGTTTAACCCACCGGTGTAATTTGGTGTAATTTAGAACCATAAATAGTAGTAATCATTACAAAGTTAATATCTCAAAAATGAGACCAATAAACAGCAGTCAAATATATTAAATAAAAATATTTAGAGTTTCCAAAAACTATTTCTAACTAGAATTTGAATATTTGTATCCGACCCTTGTATTATAAAACTAGGGCGGTAATGATAACCATCAATTATTTGTAGTTTAAAAAATCATAAAATTCTTCACAAAGCAATTTCATCCTTTTTGATTCACCACCTTTTTATTAGAGATATTATGAAACAATGGCTTTTTTTATGAATCAAAACGAATGGACCTCGTGAATCAAAAAGGATTCCAAAAAATCTACTTTAAAAAGATTTTATATATCAATATTATGTTGCTTTTTGTAGATCATTATATAAATTCAATTTACTCAAACTTGTCTATACATAAACAAATGAACCCTTTTAATTACATGACATTTCAAATAGTAAAATTTCCGGAGAATTATTTTTTTTTGTTAGAGCACGAAAGAATTTCCTATTCTAATTTTTGAAAAATAAACGATTTCTTAAAAAACATGAATTTTGTTTGATCTGATCACCTATTGGCTAATCTGTTGTCGAAGTCATCCATTTAAAAAAATCATCAAACATTTGAATAAGAAACCAAGTTTTTATCCTTTAGCAAGTAATTTTTCTTGAGGAATTTTGCTACATAAGTTACTAGTTTCCAAATCTGGTTTAAATAGTAACTATAACATAACGATAATGATAAAGGAATAATTTTTTCAGTTACACGAGTATGAATCTGTCGGTGATCCTTTGTAAAAATAAGCCTTGGGAAAATTTTGCAGTTCAACCAATAAGAAATCCGTTCATTGATTTTCGGCAATCGGATCGGCTTGTCCGTGCATAAAAAAAAAAAATTCTATCGTACGTTTATTCTCATTCGTTTTTAGAAGACACATTAAAAATTCTTTTTGAAATGATAATCTTACCTAATGAATGTCTTTTCGAAATATTTACCTACCTCAAGAGTTTAAATTTATTTTCATGCCTTCTTGTAAATCGTCAATGGTGTAGAATTGCTGTACGATTATTATGGAGAGAAGTAAACTTATTTAGAAGTAAAAAACTTGTAAGAACGTGTCTATTACTGTTAAGCACAGAAGAGCAAGCATTATTACAAACATTATTAATACCATTCAAGTGCAACATAACCTTTCCAAATAATTTAAAACCATTATTTTGCTATACCGCTTATACTATGGTTATTAAGGTTGATTCAGATAACGGAATTATGAAATGGTTTGAACATAATTCTCGTAATTTCAAATCTTTTAATTATTACTTGCAGTTAAATGCTGCTAAAATAATTCGATATTCCTTAACAAAAATGTTTCTACGAACAAGTAAGAAACTTAAAGATTTAAGCATTCATTGTGAAATAGTAAGTTTATTATTATCAAAAATATTTGAAGAATGTACTTTGACTTCTTTAACACTTTCACATAATGAACTGGGTACCGAAGGAGGAAAAGTACTCGCAGAAGCTCTTCATAAAAATACTACTTTAACCCACTTATATATTTGGGGTAATAAACTTGATTCTGAAGTAGGAAAAGCAATAGCAGCAGCTATTTGCGTGAACACTACTTTAAATTATTTAAATATTATGGATAATCAACTTTTTTCAGAAGGTGGAAAAGCACTAGCAGAAGCTCTTTATCAAAACAGGATTTTAACTTCTTTGAATATTAGTGGAAATCATCTTGGTTCTGAAGTAGGAAAAGTATTTTCAGAGGTCCTTTGTATAAACACTACTTTATCCTACTTGAATCTTAGTAAAAACCGACTTGGTACTGAAGGAGGAAAAGTACTAGCAGAGGCGCTTCATATAAATACCACTTTAATCTCACTTAATCTTAGTGAAAATCTACTTGATTCTGAAGCAGGAAAAGAATTATCTAAAGCTCTTTATAAGAACACCACTTTAATCTCACTTAATCTTAGCGACAATTTACTTGATTCTGAAGTAGGGAAGGAATTATCTAAGGCTCTTTACAAGAATACTACTCTAACATCTTTAGAGCTTTTTAAAAATGATATTGATAACAATATGTTGGATACAATTAATAATTTGCTTAGAAGAAATCGAGAAGATTTTTAATTTGAAAGTAGAGATTAATTTTTATAGCTATGATGATTATATTTAGATATAGAAATTTATATGCATAAATTATGAACATTCTTTATGTCTAAACATTTTATTCTGGTTAATAAAGTTGTCTATTAGCTTTTAGTTCGATAAATTTCTAATGATTAATTTGATTTTTGAATTAAATATTGCTTAGTATGGGAAAAAAAATATTTACTTTCTAAATCAAGAATTTATAGAATTCATCAATGCAATACATTGTTATCCCGATCAACCAATCAAGTGTAGCGTGAAATCTATTAAAACGATCTCTCATGAAATTGGCGGTAAATCTTTCAGTCATTGTTTTACCCAAGCTTAACTAGTTTACGCATGGATCGAATCGGACGTGTAATTTAAATAGAAATCGAATCGGACAAAGTTGGATCCGAAATCGTGTCAAAACAGATCCAGATTCGACTTGAATACATCTCTCATTCAGTTAGGGAGTAATACTCATACCGACAAGAATACATAGAAGGTTCTTTATTGCGTCTCAAATAAAGGGAAGAAAAAAAGTTATCCAGGCGTATTCAAAATCCTGAGTCTATAATCTTGATTTGCACAATCCCAAAAGTGACTGGATCATAATAGTTTAAGATCCAGAAAAATCAAGATCTTGACAGTTTATGATCAGGAGTTTATAGTAATGATTTTCGCGATTTATTATGTAGTGTAGAAAAAGTATTCTATGTTAAGAACAAAACTAAAATCAAATGAAATACAGTTTTTTTTTTTTAGCTCAACGCCTTTGTTAGCAGTGATATACGTGCTCTTACATAATTACCATGTTCATGGTCATTTTTCATATAGGTACCATACAGTCAGATTATAGAAATATGGAACCAAATTCTTAAATATTATTCTGTCAAATGGAATTCATTCCAGTAGCTATAAATTGAAATCCTTTCTTAGAGTCTTTTATATATTCTCCATTCTTGAATTGTTATTTTATATGTTTGACATTAAGCTTCGTTTATGTTATCTTTTTTACATTACATTTTCTTTATTTTGATTTTTTTTAAATCTTTTATTAGTTATTTCGTTTATTTGTGCGATGTGACTCTTAAATTTGAATGCGAATAAAATAATAAATATTTATTAATTACGATTTCAAATGGTGAATATTCATGAATTGAATATTTTTATTTTGAATAACCAATATAAAATACAATTAAATAGTAATTATTCATGAACATAAATAAGCTGTTTATCCAACTTTGATGTATTTATGCATTGCTTACTAAACAACCGCGTGTAATATAAGGATTGTACGTCTAGCAATTATAAAAAATAAGCATCTTCAGTTTTTGGAACCTATTTTTAATCTTTGCAAACAATTATCTTGCCAATGGTTAATAGGCTTTTTTTATTCAACGGCGATAAATGAATTTGCAGCTTTTAATAACCCTTCGAATCCTTCGAGTATTCCGCATATTTGAAAAATACATTGGTGAAGATCAGCTTAAATAAATGCATTAAAAGATACACTGGGCACAAATGAGACAGCCGAAAAAATTTATGGTTAGAAATTATCAGCATTAAGAAATAATCAATTTATATATATTTTTTGTCATTTACAACTTACCATTCGGTTATGGAGCATCGAACTTCAAATAAATTCACTTCAGCTAAGTTTCTTTTCATCCTGAAAAATAACAGAATTCTGTGTTATTATATGTACTATCAATATTAAATATTCATGGTTTAAAATTTTTCTGTTAACGGATATTGTAACATTTATTAAAAGTATGGTAATTAATAATAACGGGCTTTACGATGCTCACCATCAAAGAAATTATAATCTCATTCTCGATTTTCTCACATAATATCGTTTTCAATTTTTAATTAAAATTATCTTTAAACGTGCAAACATGTTCGTCGTCGTATTTGATTATTCACTTTTAAATCACCTCGAGAAACTTTTTTCTTTATCTAAATTGAAGTAATTTCATTAATATATAAATAATTTTACAAATTTTTATTAAATAATTACCACTTCACAGTCACCTTCGCTGCTTTCTTATATGCTACTTGATTTGACTCTGATTCTAAGATTTCGAAATTTACTGTATCCTCTAAATTTGTCTATTATAATATTAATTTTATATATTTTGAAAATAAGGTCATGGTCAGATTCTTGAATTAGCTGATGTGTCTTCAGGAAATTTAATAGTGTAAATCTAGCATCAGATTCTTTAAAATAATCTGCAAAATTTTCGTTATTTGGGTTTTGATCATTTTTAAAAAAAATTGCAAACTGAGGTTATTTTTAACTAAATAAAAAAATATCGAGAAAATGTTTTTTTTTTTTGCCTAAGAAAAAACAGTTGTTTATCCAGAAAAATGGCAACATTTTGATTTACGATGCACCACGTCAGGGATCAGAAGAATACACAATCAAATTTCGAGATCAGGTGGAAATCATTGAGGAAATCAAATGAGGAGGAAATTAAATTGTTGATTTTTATTTAAGCTATTTACTATTTATTTTTATTTTTAGAATACAAGCACTTATTTATATGATCACTTTTATATTCTATAATTGAATAATAACTACTTAAGTTCTTAAACCGCAGTTAATACAATTGATGCACAAATAGAAACAGGATATGCAGCAAATTATATAATATCGCGCACAAGATATGTAATGTTAGTCTTCCACACTACATAATCCTAACAATAGAACTATGAGTAGCGATCATATAATAACTCTAAATTAATGGATCGTTTGAGCAGAGTTAAAAAAGTTACATTTTTGATACCTCTTTGATATGGAATTTTATATTATCAATAGTCAATATATAAGGTTATGTATGCTAAATTTCTTCCTAAACATTCATTAATGTCTCAAAACAGATTTAGACTGCTATTTCTTCTATTTTTCACGTTTTGACTTCTACAATTTGGTTGGTTGATTGTCACATAATTTTGTCTCCACTTTAGATAAAGCAATAATTACTTATTTATACTTACATGAATACATGTGCAGTGTGACATTACTTGCTTTATACAGGATTTAATCATCCGTCTATTAACGTGATTTCCTGCTTGCTCTCGCTATCTGATCTCATTACACCAATATTGAAAGTGAGAGTTTTTCTAATAATAGCGCCATAAAAACGGTATAATTCGTATTTTATTTGGGCTACGTAACTTTATAAATTAATTTAAAAAACCGCCCAGCTTTAGACGCACACTATAAGTAAATTATAATTTGTAATATATTTCAATATATATCATCGTTATAGATATATTTATTTCAAAAGTCGAATTAATCCAGATCTTGTCGTTTAGTTCAATGAAATAGATATTCATTATCTAATATTAATAATAAAAAAAAGTCAACGAAATATTTTATGAAAACCAATAATTCTGTCGATTTGTAAATATTAGACATAAAAATAAATAATATAAATAAAAGATTTGAAATCTAAGTTAAAGTTTTTTTCCGAAATGTCTTATCAACCGAAATGAGGTGTTATATTCATCTAGTTCAACACTAGATTTATCAAGCATTTCATCGTACTTTTTGTAACTAATGCTTGTATATTCAAGAATCATGGATTTTACAACTTCAAAAAAGGTTATGAATTTCTGTTTTATCTATCAAATATTTATAATACATGGTTAAAAAAAACAATATATATAATATAATATATATGAAATTGTACTGTATTAGAAAAACTTTACCTCATCATGATCAGTAAAATATAATATTCTTTCGTCAAATTGATATTCAAGATTATTATCTTTAAATAATTTGACTGCATTTTTGTAAAAGTCTTCAGAGCAAACACCCTTATTTCGAAGGAAACTAAACACTATCGAACGAAATATTATTTATATTTGTTAGTGTTTACTTGTAGACAATATATATTCCGATTTTTCCCGTGTTATCATTCTGGAAAATGCAGACTTTTTAGAATAAAGCATATATAAAATTCCTGTAAAATCCTGATAAATCCGGGTAAGCATTAAGGTTTGTTATCAGGTAAACTCTTGTTATATTTTGTACGTTATTGCGTAAGCACAACAGATACAACTCTTAACGGAAAACTCTTATGATCATAGATTTATTCCTTTTTGCATGTTATACCGTAATTATGCTTATTCAAATTGAAACTCAGCCAATAACAAATATTAAGTCTTGCGTTGATTAATGTCACAAATGATTGGCTGAAATGTGCTGTTACGCAGCACATATCAACCAATTATTTCATGATATTAATCGATGCATGATCAATATTATATACATTGTAATTGCATGATATTGGACCAATATCACAAAATTTGGTTTGTTAGTGCAAGTGACTGACTGAAACATGCCGCTACATGGCGCATATCAACCAATCATTTGCACCGACCAACCAAATCTTAAGATATTTCAAAATATTAATATTCAGCTTCCAATCCTTCACATTTATTAAATTAGAAGTAGAATTTAATTTTTATCTTAAAATTAACAGACTTCTACGGAAGTAACGTATGATAACCTGGGAAAAGTCGGTATGTTTTTGCAAATTTTCTTTTTAAATGCAGTAAATTTACATGCGTCAGCAAGGAATTTTGTGTTAGGACCAGGATTTATGACTTTCATATCAAATTCCACATTCTCGATCCATCCACCAGGTTTTAAAATTCGTAATAATTCTAATGTATAAAGAAAAGTTTAGTTATTAATTTATATATCAATTAATCATTATTGATTCTGAGATTAGCTGACGTTTATATTTAGACTAATTTTAATTTAAATTCATGCGTTTAATGAGTTTTTGGAAGTTCTATATGTATATATATGTGTAGCATATGTAATAGATATTCCACGGACTGTTGTGAATATCATGGATTAGCACGACTTCGCTGTGCTAATCCATGAAGTCACGGCACACCGTTGAATATCTTATATATTTCAAGGTTCCTATGCCCGTAACATTTCTGACTAAAATTTTTAATGATGACGTAATGCCGTTGAATAATTTTGAATATTTTCACGGCAGTACACCATCATAAAAATATCATCAGAAATGTTCACTGGGGAACATTAGAGGCCGTGTAATATATAAAATATACATATAGTGTATATTGTAGATCTATGGTTGTGTTAGAATCAGATTTAATAAATTATTTTTAAACTAAAATAAGGACACTAAGTTTCAGTATTAGCTAATCTCAGCATCATCCATTATATTAATGTTTAAAGTGCCTGTTACTTTAAATTTTTTACCTGGAAATAATTTAGTCTGTGCATCTTTTGATGAAATAGACCATAGAATGTCTTTTATGTGAATATAATCAAATGAACAATCTAGATATTGCAATTCCTTTAAAACATCAGCCTGTTCAATGCAGACATTCGAAGGCATAACGTCTTTTCGATTTACAATATCAATTCCTGTAAAGTGTGAAAGAGGATAGGTTTTTGCCTTCAAATTAAGCAATTAATGGTTAAAAAATAATTTCATTCTAATCTATAGAATTAAACAATATTTAATTGATTATATAATAATAAAAAAAAAAATACCATATCACAAACCCATGTGCCAAATCCACAACTTTTTTGAAAAAAATGTTAAGATTTTATGAACAAAATAATAATACATAGATAAAACTTACCCAATATCAAGAACTTTGGCATCACCATCTTTTAGGGTAGATTCGATTGGAGAAAAAAAATTCGAGCCCCAAGCTTTTAAAATAATTACATTCTAATAATTAGTATTAATATAAAAATGTAGTTACTTTAACATTCCAATTTAATAACAAAAAATCGCGATTAATGGATGTGATGACTGACGTGATGGTATTCTTTATCTAAATTGCTATCAATCGACGGAAATCCAGTATTTGCTTTTATATATTCTTGAAATTTTATTTCACCTGACTTATCAAGGTTGGGATCTTTATCACTTGTAGCTGTATTTTTTTTCGAAACATCATTACCCATCGTTAAAAAATTTAAAGAATGAATTTAATAATAAAGAATGTAAATGATGTTAAAAAACATCAGTGAAATATTTGATAGTAACTATTTTAGAATGAAAATTTCTTGCTTACATATATATATCATTCGAAAAAAGGCATGCCAATAACGATTTTTTAATTTGTTTGTCATACAACGTTAATTTAATTTACGCATAAAATTCACAAATACAATCAAACAAATGTTAGTGTTACGCACTAATTAGATAAACGGTTATCAAACTAATATCCTTTATCATCATGTTCACCTCGCGCATTTAAGATATACACGTAGTTAATGTAGTTAATACATACGAAGCACTAATAACCTAATAATCCCGATTGATTGTTAATTCAGCCAGTATGGTCTGATTATTAAATAATCGGGAGGGAAAATAAATTCTATAGTTATTGCTTATGTAACATGAAATAATGGTTTTAAACAATTTTTTATTATGATTTATTTATGGAATAATCTATTATATAAAATTATCACTTTATAAGCTTATCATGGTAATATACGACAAAAAGTATAAATATAACCAAAAACATTAAAAGAACTTTGGGGGCAAACGCAGACGATCTGAGCATGCAGACGCAAAACACCGATAGTGCAGATATTACAAATTATGTTTTAACAAAAAGAAAGTGTGACAGTTCACAAGAACTAAAAGAATCTAGTTACAAATTAAAAAAGCAAGTACGTACTGTACATACATACGTCGGTACTGTATTTAATCAAACATAACCATAAATACCTCCATTATTGAATCACAATTGTTATCGTTATCACTATAATGTTGAGATTACATGCTAAATAATGCATATCAACTACTTTGATATATATAAAAAGTATTTTTTGATAACTCAATCAAACTTTAGACATCTACTTTTAGGTTGATGAAACTGATTACTTGTTATTAGGAAAGAACTTGTTATTCATTCCTAATTTTACCTATCAATGTTGATTAGAGTTTCGGCATAAATCGAAACCTTTTACTTAGGTGTATCGAAATTATTAATACTGATATCTAATTTTACAATGAATAACCTTTGATCCACTAACACTTGTTGAATGAATTTCTATCAATGATTGGCTCGGGAAGACGGTTTAAAGAATACAAACCCGCTATACTTCAATCACAAAATCCAGAGATTATTAAGGTTTTGTTTCACTCTGACATCCAAAATCTCGAAATCCATAAACCCAGACATCACGCGATGCGATAATTGAAATTTAAAGTCCGAAAATGTTTGTTAAAGTGATTAATAATCTTAAATATTAATTGTTACACCGCGTGATGTCGGAATTATGGTTTTCGAGATTTTAGATGTCGGGATTTTATGATAAAACATCCGATGTGACGCAAAACCTTAATAATCTCGGGATCCTGCGATTGTGCAAAAGCTATTTTGTATTAAGTCCTAAAAATCAGTTGAAATGAATAGTATTTATCCCTGGTTATTATTTATATTTCCATATTATTTATTTTATGCTTATTACCTGGATCTTAGGTTTTAAGTTCTTCATTTATAGAACCCTCCTAGTATAGCTACCATTTTTATTATAAACTAAATTATAAGAGACAGTAAAAACGACACATAAGTATAGAGTATTAAAATTCTCAAATACTTGTCTTCAAAAAATACAATTAGCGACTTTACATTAACTACCGTTTAGGTAATAAAGATTCGAATTTTGTTTTTCGTAAAAAATTGCTTCAGGAATTTTTACTAATCAAAGTTATTTTTGATTTATCATAATTCAAAATGTTTTCATTTCGCTCAATCCATGTTTTGAAAGATGCTTTTTATATCAACCATTTTTCAAATTGGTACGAAATACTTTTAAATCATTAATTTTAATTATTAGAAAATTTTAAAATTTATTTTAAAATTACTGTAAATTAATCAAATTGGTAATATTTTACAAATAAAATATAAAATTAGTCCTAAAATTTAAATTAAAATTTAATAAATTTTATATTTAATATTTTTAATTATTGATTTTTTTTTTTTATTTGATGACTAGAACTAATTCTTTAATTTATTTTTTTAATTTTTAAATATTTTAAAAAATATACATATTTTAGATATTTTTTTTCTTATTTACAGCCACTACTAGTACGTATAACATTCAGGTCTACTACAGAGAACCTGAGTTACACTGTATCACCTTTTTCCGTTTTTTTTTTGAATTTTTTAGGAAACATAGCTAAGGTTGGAAATATATAAAACATGTAAAAAAAGAAAAGAAACTTATTCAGCTTAAATATGGGGATATTATTGAGTTACTAAAGAAAAAAGGATATAACCCACAGAGATATAACAATGTACGAGTGTATTAGGCTCATATTCACTTACACTGAAATACAAACTTCCAATTTATCATTGTTGGACAAAAATTCTTCTAGTAAATGTATGCACACTAGCTTTACGTGATAACGTCACACATGTACCATCATTCTTATGAAGAGCTCCCGCTAATGATATTTCTATCTCATGACCAAGTTTATTATTACAAATATTTAAAGAGGTTAAAGTAGTATTTCGATGAAGTGCTTTGATAAATGCTTCTCCAACTTCAAAGTCAAGTTGATTCTCCGAAAGATTTAGATGTTTCAAAGTAGAATTTTTGTGAAGCGCTTTTGCAATTGCTTTTCCTCCTTCCGTTCCAAGTTCATTATGACAAAGATTAAGATGAATCAGAGTAGAATTTACATAAAGAGCTTTTGCTAGTGCTTTCCCTCCTTCAGATCCTAACTTATTATGTGAAAGAATTAAATGGGTTAAGGTAGTATTTTTACAAAGTACCTCTGCTAATGATTGTCCATATTCGGAACCTAATCGATTTAGTGAAAGATTCAATTTAGTCAAAGTAGTATTTTTATGAAGTGCTACTATTAATGTTCTTAATTCTTTAAAATGTAAGGAAGCTGTAGTAATACGTTTAAATTTATCAAGGTTTGTCGTTGATAAATTTACTTGTTGATTATTAATGCTTAAGCATTTAAGTTTCTTACTTGTTCGGAGAATCATAATAATTAAAAAATTTTTAATTGCTCGAACTTCATTTAAAGATGAATGATATTTTAAATGTATATAATTATCCTTTAACCAATTTTTGAATCCATGATCTGAATTGATCTTAATAATTGTGGCAAAAGATGTGTATTTAAATAATGGTTTGGAATTATTCGAAAAAATTATATTAAATGGTCTTAATTGTGCTTTTTCTTTTTCATTTAATTCCATAAGACATGTTCTTACAAGTTTTTCATTTTTAGAAAGGTCTAAATCGCTCCATAATATCGGTACAACAATTCTACACCATTGACGGTTTACGAGAAGGCATGAAAATAAGCTTTTACGATGATAACCTTTAAGATTACTCAATATATCGAATAAACTTTCATTTGGTAATGTTATCATCTTGGAAACGTTAAAACAATTTATCCGCGTTTGATGTTAATTTTGTTGACAACTTTTTTCGGAGTTTGGCAATCCAATTTTATTTATATGTAGGTGTTATCAACCCAAAAACAAGCTCGTATGATTGGCCATCAAAATTTTATATGTCGCTAAAGCCTAAAAGATAAAATAAGTAATTTCATTATAACTAGGTAAGCGATCTTCGGAGCATAATAATTGACTAAAAATAGAAACGGCGTATTGGATAAATTAATAAACTCTGATATAAAAATAGTAATTACGCATGTAAACTAGTCTATGGCTTGAAACCAATTTGTTTTTTTTAGGCATGATACGTTGGATGGTCTGTCAACTAAGTAAATCAAAACTATATATGGTATATATCATATAAAAATTTTTCTTAAAAATTTTCATGGAAATGATGCTGGGCTCTTATAACTATAATTAGAATCCAACTCTTAAATTAATCGATAGAAGATCTTTACAGTGAAAAAGCTATAATGCCGAATTTTATATTGTATTAAAAAAATTTGCCGGCAGCTTAAATGTCGTCCAGATTATGGATCTACTGCACAGCCTGCAGCATTATGCTGCCAGAATTATGCTAGCTGGCCAAAATTATGCTAGCTAGTCTGAATTTTAAAAATCACAATGTGTAGTCTCTCAAATATTCTGCGCAGCGGCCTATCCCTAGTCCAGATTATCTAAAACAACAAATGCACATCATGTAAGAAAAAAATCGGTTTCTATATGTAGTGTAAAAATGGCTCTATAACTTTGTTACTGAAATAGAAAAGAGTCGATTGGCATTAAAAAAAAAAGGAAATTTTAACTTGTGCATCTAAAAAAAAGTTCTCCGATTATATATATTTTATTAGGTCTCAAGTTTTTTTATTGTTTTTATAGTTTTTGATATATGTTTTTAGCTTTAACGGTCAGGTACTGCTTAAGGGCTAGGATTTAAGTTTTTTTTATTGTTTTAATAATTTTTCTAACTCTTAGACCCGACTACTCTAAAGATAGGTCTTAGGTTTTTATTGTTTTAATAGTTTTTAATATATTATTGTTATGTATTTTTATGTATATTCAGAGCATAAAGATAGAATTCATTAGAAAAAATTTGAGAATCATAGATTTTCAATAATTTTATTAATAAAATCATGAAAAATCTTATGATTTTAAAATTTGCTAATTAATTCTATTAAAAATTTTACTAATTAATTCTATTGTGATTCTGGATTTCGGCGAGTCTCTTACTTTTTTCTACTTCTAATTAATTATTACAATTATTTCACAATTCACCAACATTACCTTCTCAATCAATTCTGAATCTAGACCAAACCTATGATTTCAACCTTATTATTGCAACTTATAATATTAGAAGTTTCAACACTATTATTAAAAAAGAAACCTGGCAGAACTATTGCTTACAGAATGATATTTCTGTTGCTAGCATTACAGAAACTAAAATATCAAACAAAACAAACTTATTTTTTTGTAACAACAACACCTTTACTTACTACTAGTTCAAACTAAAATCTCAGCTAAGGAAAC